CTTTTGTGAATTTGTGCAAATAGGGTCCATTATTGCAAAAAACTTTTTCAAGGAGTTAAATGTAAAGACAAACAAGGTTATTCTCAACACAGAAAAATTATAATTAAAAAAATTAAAATTTTAAAAAATAAGCAGAAATTGCAGCTACTAAATTATCCAGCTTAGAAGATCTTATTTGGTATTTAGCCTATACTGCTGAACGCAGAATATTAATTTCGGACGAATAAAGGAAGAAGCTTCTGCCGAAGACAAAATTTAGTTCGTTTACATCTGTCTTTCTCTCCCCCCCCCTTCTTGGGAAGGGTTTATTCGATTAACAAAACAATAATGAAGATAAACAAATTTGTGAAGGGTCCGATTAAAAGAAATTATTTTGCGAATGGTTCGTTTTTATAAAAAGATATTTTGTGAAGGGTTCGTTAACGGACCCAATTTTCTTCTAAACAGACTCCTGGTTATTCTTATAGTAGTTATTAAGAGAGGGAACTCTCTTGTTGAGAAACACACCATAAACTACTCAGTTTACTATTAGTCAAAAACTATAACTTGTCTCATTTACCACATAAATGTGTATTACGTTTTTCATTATACGGGATTCTATTTAATTTCAATGCCCTTCAACCTCTTGCTACCATAATTCTTATCTACATATAAAGAAAGAGCATTATTTTTCATTTTTAATATTTTAAAAAGTTCTGAAAAGGACTTACTGTCACATTTGCAGCTAGGACAAGGTCTGGAGTTATAATCAACTTGACAACCAGGTCCACATCTTACAGGACTACACAGAACTAGAAAAAAATAGGATAAAAGATAATATTTCACTATAAAATATCGATTTATTTCTGTTGGTAATAAAAGAGATAAGCGATAGGTCAAAAGAAAAGCACATTGCATAACTTCAGTTCTAATGATCAAATTTCCACGTACTAAAAGCCAGTCTCATCGGTTTAAGAGGTTGACTTCTAACATTTTAATGAATATATGCTACTAACTATACAGTTACGGATTCAGGGGCAAAAATGTGCATCATCAGAACAAACATTCCTTTTTCTGACGGGTTTGGATATGGGAATGTTGAAATAAGGTGAAAATTTAGCGTTTGTTCCCAAAAAATATAGGCAGGTGACAGGCCGAAAGTGTGGAAACCATGTCTAATGGTATACATTAGAGTCAAAATAATTATTATAACAAAACCAGTGAGTACCAGGATTTGTAGATACATCTATATCTGTTATTCCGTTTCCATATTTTTCCAGCTTTTAAGCAACAAATCTGAAGCAAACATGCCTTTAAAACTTTTTTTACTATTCTTTTCAATCATTTTCTGGATACTCCCATGGTTTATAGACTCCCCCCTCCACATTTTTTTTTCTTTTTAGTCTTACCCTCAAGGCTACCATCCCTGATCCTTAAAATTTTATCTTTTTTAATTCTCCAATCAGCAGCCTCGCTAGATGTTCTTGATCCTAAAGTAATGGAAATTAAAATTGTTAAATTTCTCCATTCTTTTTCAATTGATTATTTCATAATTTAATTCTTTTACCTTTCGTAATTTGGTTAATTTATGTAGCTGTTAAGTGTAAATCAAAGTTGGGTGTTTTTCTTTTATTTATTTTCAAACCAATTTCTTCACTATTTTTTATAGCATGATTTTAATTTAGAAATTTGACTGTCATTTAAGTGTATTTTCTTACAATATAAGTGCTCATGTATTTACCAAAATATTTTGCACAGTAATCCTTTACCTGTACCTTGTTTAAAGTTTTCTCTCTTAAAAGTTAATCCAGCGAAAGTCAATTTTACTATATTTTAAGAACCTTTAAAATTTTCATCTTTCAAATCAGCTAAAATAATCACTTTTTCTTCTAAAAGTTTTCCCGCGTAATATCTACCTTTTGTAATAGCTAATAAAGCATCTGCACATCATATTCATCCTATCATCAGCAAGGTCAATCTCTCTTTGATAATCATCCTTTCGTTCCTCGGTAGTATCATTTTTATTTCAGATACAGTTCATTTTTCTCGTTTAAATTTATCTTTGAATTCCTTTGCCGTATCGACATATTCCATGATTTCTTCATCAGTTTTCTTCATCATCCGCCGCGATTTCTTCATCGTGATTAAAGACAAATCATCAACTGCATCTCTTATACAATGCAAATGTTGTTCTCTAAAAAATTTTAATTTTCCCATTTTGACGAAGTCTAATGAAACTCAGCCAATGGTTTTTGTATTACCATTTCTTCTTCAAGTTTTGTTTCATCATTTTGTCCGACTTGAAATTCTAATTTAACTAACTTCATATTATATTATAATTGCACTCTATCAAAGTTTTATTTCTCTCTTCCTCAATTTTTTTCATTTGTAAATAGGTTTAAAAAAGGTTCTAAAAATGTTTTCCAATAAATGAAAGTATTAAATGTAATATATTTTAATAAATGGAATGTATTATTATATAGAATATTATTATATATTATATAGATTATATTTGATTAGGAAGATATAATTCATGGAAATTTGATGGACGGGATAGAAAACAATCATTTTATTATAATTTTATTACCTTATCTCGTAAAACCAAAGATAACAATTAACATTTTATTGCTTAAAATGCCAAAAAAATGCATAGAAATAAGGATTCTTGCATGTAAATAAGTATAGAATGTAAGTTATACAATCTGTATGGATAATATAAGGATTCATACAGTATGCAATCATATTTATGTGCAATCGTTTTTTTTTATTACTTGTATTCCAGATTAAAAGTAATCATTATTACATGTAATCATATATTTTGATTACTTATGACTATTACAGTAGTAATCAAAATTATGACATATTGTAAGCATGTTTACGAGTAATATATTACTGTAATCAATTAATGTGATCGATTATATTTTTTAATCTACTCTGTCAAAAGCTAGCACCATTAATCCTTAGGACTGCCTCATAGCCCGTTTAACTCCAATTTTTATATCTAAAATTATTCTTTTATTCTGTTCCTTTTTATTTTGCACCCTATATAATAATCATTATTTTTTCTAAAAGTTATTAAATTAATTTGTTTAAATATAGAAGTTCGTGATTTAAAAGTTTTAGTATTTAATTTGTAGTGACAATTTAGAAAACTAACCGACGATAAGTTTTAAGTTGCATAAAAATAAAACGACTTGAACTCCCTTAAAATCTATGGCACATGTTGGGAAAGCAAATCAAACTCCGAATCCCGGCCTTTATGTTCACGATCAGAACTAAGCTAATTGCGGCAAAACCATTGGAATTTTGTTCTTAAATCAATCCACATGTTATCTGCTTCTAAACTAATCAGGTCCAAAAGTGGAGTTATGATTGACTTTCTGTTTGGTTTTTTTTAAGAGTGAGCGATTTCTTAACCGCTGAAATTATATTTTCATTGGATAATAAAACTTTTTATGCAACCCTTAGTACTTTATATTGAATAAGAAGTATAAATTTGTAGTTTGAATAATGAAAGATCTTTGAATTAAAACTATTTCATATTAAAACATTAGGTAGCACACATTATACAAATTGACAGATGAAGTAAAAACATTTTTCTAAATTTAAAATTCAGAAGGTATTAAAAGGAACTGTTTTACAGTGTTAATATCAATTAGGTGAAATTATAACTTACCACCACATTTACAGCTTGGGCATGGTTTTGTTGAATATTCAGTTTCACAACCAACGTCGCATTTCACGGGTGAACATTGTAAAGCAGAATCAGCTGTAAAAGTTGAAGAAGCGTTAACAAAAAGTTTCCATATAAAGACAATAAAAAATACAAATAAACGAATCGTGAATATTGAAACAAAATTCCGATATTAATTGTTTGATATTCTTAATAACAATTACTGGAAATTTTTTAAAGGAAAAAAAAGGAACTTACAGCTGCATTTACAACTTGGGCATGGTTTTGTCGAGTAATCAATTTCACAACCAATGTCACATTTCACTGGTGAACATTGCAAGGCAGAATCAACTATAAAATCAAAAATATCATTAATGAACCAGGTTTTGCTTTCTTAATCATATATAGTAGTCTTATTTTATTGTAAACAGATAAAATCCTTCAGACACTCACACAGATTTTGTTTGCTAGGGACAGTTTTGTTCTCCCTCTTTTGAATACGTGAATATAAAAGAACAACAGGACATTTTAATATAGATTTCTACTCTCGCCAAAGCGAGTTCTTCCAGATTTTAGAAGCCTTTCGCTCACAATATAAATTACTCTATGCAATTTTCTATAATTTTACTTAGCCGGTCCTGCTTCATTCAAGTTAATAATAGCCATAAATCCTTGGCTGAAACTGTGTTAGGCTTCCTAACTAAACGAATATTCTCTGACAAATTTGCTGCCAGAGATTTTCTTTTAAAGTTTATTACTTTAGATGTAATAAACTTTATAATAGTAAATAAAACTTGTATTGTGATCAGACATAGAATTTAATCACTGTAGTTAGTCGGTAAGTGGCGTTAATAAGATGGTAAAACGCTGTCCAAAACGCTTAAGAAATAATCCAAATTCTTTCAGCACAAAGCTGTAATTATACTGGTATTATGTGAACATTCTCGATAGTCAGAAAGTAATCAGAATTTTAAATGACTATCTTGCAGGAAGATGTAACAACAAACTCTGTAGTCTGGAAATGTTTGAAACTTGCTTTGTCATCCGTCACAGAACATCAGTAAAGTATTCAAGCATGACGGAAAGTTGTCGAAATATTGACTGCAAGATTCCTTATACACTAACTCAAAAGCTCATTTATTTTAGCTAAGAAGAAAAATAAAATAGAAGTCCTGCTATTAGGGATAAAAAAAAATATTTAATTAAATTTTAATAAATATCTTGTTGAAAATAAGAATAATAAAAGAAAACCTTTACTAATCTCTTTCAAATTGATCAATAATTGAGTGTTTTAAATAAAATCTACTTTGCTTTAATATCCTGAAAATGCAATTCGTTTTAATGTTGTTATTAATGTATCTTTAATTTAAGCATGGTATCTTACGAAGCAAAAAAAGGGAAATTAAAACAACAACAAACAAAACACACTGCAAGCGAAACGCTTCGAATTCGGAGGAAAAAAGTAAAATTTGAAAGAAACTTTGATAAAAACCTTTTCATTGTATTTTTATTTTGCATTGTATTTTTATTTTTTTTATGACAATTTTTACCTAACTTTCTACCTAAAGTTAAATAAAGGAAGAGCAATAAAAAAATAAGAAAATTGCGAAAATTTTAAACGAATAATTGGGAAAAATTGATAAAATCAATAGCTTATGACCAATGCTTTGAGCACAAAGCAATAGCTTGTGCTCATCGATAATATGAGAATGAAAAAATTATAATCGATATTATAATCGATCGAAAAATTATAATCGATCTTATAATCGATATTATGAGAATGAAAAAATCAAATCAACTGAATTGAAATATAATATGACCCTTACACACAATTTAAGTAGAGAAAGAATAAAGAATAATGATTTAATTTAACACATCTAGCTCAAACTCGCTGTCCAGGAGGCCAATTCCTTGCTGAGAAATAAAATAGACTACCCAAAATAACATCATATACTGAAAATTTCTACAGAAGTCTTTCAGACATTTTTTTATTACTGGAATTGTTTTTTTTGTCTAATTTCAGCATGGCAAAATGAATCACATAATGTTAAATCAAACTTTTGAGTTCTTTTAACAACAGACTATTATATTTGGATAAGAAATTTTGCAGTGTTTGCTTTTGTTCTCACTTAATTTCGTGCGAGATATAGATTTTGTACAACGTCGATTATTTGTTCCAACACTATATAAGGCTTTATAATTTTTCAACTGCACTATAAAAAATTTCAGAAAATAATTTTGACTCGACAGAACTTCATTTAATATCCGATCAATTGCGAAACATTTCTTTAATTTTCAAAAGTAGGAAACTGAATCGCTGATTCAGTTTCAGAGTGAAGCGGCGTAGAAAATAAATTGCAGCTAATAAATTACCACTACAGCTAATAAATTGCAATTGACTAATTTATAAGACATGTTAACTCGGTTCTAACAGGAGTTGCCTTTTCTCAGATTACGGTTGACATTGTCAGTAGCCTAGCCCCAGATGGATGACTTGCTATTTGTGACTGCGACATTGTCCTCTCCACGCTTTTGCTACTCAGTCTCGATCGCACATAACTTGTTACACAAGAGTGACCACGCCCACAACCGTGATCCTAATATAACTCTCACGACCAGCACTTGAAACACGATGATCTACATGCAGCTCTCCCGGCCTCTCGCAAAACAGTAATGAATCAATTTGTGGTATCCATTCATCGAATTCTATCACAGATAAAATTCTGGTGGGAGAGTAATGTAGCGTAGTTACCACTACAACTTTTAAATTCCAATTCACTAGTATATAAGACATATTAACTCGACTCCATCTTGAGATACCATTTGATAGATGACGTTGTTAGTAGCTTAGCCCCTAGCCCCACAAGAGGTTTCCGAAATATTAAAAAACATTTTTGAAAACTACATGCATCGTAGCTGCCCCATCTATTCAGACACGTTTCGGAATTTCTTTGAACTAAGTTCATATTATCGATAAATTAAAACATATTATAAAATACCAGGTGATGTTGTAAATAATGAGTGACAATCTTAATGTATGGGTTAATAAAAAAGCAGAAAGTTGTGCTCTTTCATAAATTTTAAAAGGTTAGGTATTCATTTAAATAGTTCTAAAATATCAATATTATTATAAGGTGGTATAAATTTGCACCCATACAAAAAATATTAAATTCTTACCCTGTTCTTTGCAGGCACAAGTTGGACATGGTTGAGCATTATAATCTACTTCGCACCCTGAATCACACTTAGGAGGAGAACACTGAACTAACAAAATATAATAAAAGACATTACTAGAATTGTATCAGTGTTAGAGTAAATTCAGATTCAAGCTCTTAAAGCATTGCTAAGAGGGAACAATATTTAATTTATGTAACTTAAACTTACTTGGTGCAGTTCCGCAAACACAACTAGGGCAAGGTTTACTATTGTAGTCAATATGACAGCCTGATTCACATTTTGGAGGTGAGCACAGAACAGGTGGAACAACTGAAATAAGAAAGTTTGTAAAGTACATAAAATTATTTTTTGCAACCTTAAAAGCAGTTCATTCTGATTTGCAAATAATTACACAGTATTTTTTTTTCTTTTACCTGTTTTTTCTTGTTTGTTATTACCATGATTTATTTAACGAGCTTGCGTCTCTGTCTGTTTGTTTGTATGGGGCAAATCTTGAGTTTAAAATGTCCAATATTTTACGATTATCAATAGAGCACAGATTTCAAATGGAATTCTGCGACAAAGGGCAAAACTATTTTTATCGTTCCTTGATTACAACAAGCGTAATATTTCATTCTTTTATCTTCAAATAGAATTAAATGAATAAATTAATTTAGGCAACTTTTAAATATAATTAAACTCAAAACTAAAGAAAGAAAATAATTATAGAAAAATACTTTTATTGAATGGACTGAAAAAGAGGAAAATTAAACAAAATTTTTGTCACATCTAAAGATGTGAAACACTTGCCCGGGTTACGCTTGCATGGTTTTATCTAAAAAAAAATATTGAAACTTATTTTTTCTTTTGAACACTTGATAAACATATGTTTTTTTTCTTTCTATTTTATCATTTAATTTAAACTGAGTTAGGTCAATTCCATAAATGGAACTGGGACACTTAACCCTTTATTTATCAATTTATTTTTAAAGAAATCTCCCCATTAAATAATGATTATTTTAACTTTTAGAAACATGTTATTAATATTCAATAATATTTTCAATTTTTTACATAATTTTTAATAACTTTTAAGTCCAATCAGGATTTGATACACAACTAATGATATTTTGAAAGTAGAAATTATATCAAAAAAACATAAAGAGTTATGTACATGCATTTTTTATTTGTAAATATCAATTAGGAGTATTAAAATGTAAAACAGCATATATAATGGAATTAGTTAAATTTTTTATTATTAAGAGCAGTTGCAATATTTATCTTTGGAAGTTTATATTTCTGAATATTGTGTATTCAGAAGTGTTAAGATCTGATGAATTTCAACCCACATAATGCCTGTCAACTATTACGCCTTATACCCTACATATCCGTGAAATAAATAAATAAAATAAATAAATAAATAAATAAATAAATGAAATAAATAAATGAAATAACAAAATAAAATAAATAATAAAATATAATAATAAGCATGCATAAAATATTAGTATTGTCACTTAGTAGAGAAAGCAAATCCCGCATTAAATATTCTATTAAATGGAACAAAATCACATAAAACAAGTCAGCACTAGTTTTAATACAATTTATAAAATATTAAATGTATGAATATGAAACTCGTAGCCCCTCGTAGTCAACACATGAAATTTTTTTTCTTAAAGTTAAACATTTAATACTTTGTTAGAAAAGTAGTTGAAAATATTAACTATTCAATAAAAAAATATGAAAGACCTTACTGCAAAATCGATAGATATAGAAAGGTGAGAATTTAAGAACAAACATTCTTCATAAAATTACCATTTAGAAACGAAAGATCAACAGCTAAATAGTCCATATGCCATGTTCAGCAGCGTAGGTTGCCGTGTCAATAAATAGTAATATTTTGAAAGTTATATTACAGGGACAGACAAGTCCCTGCAGAATATTAATTCCGTTTCAATGCTATGAATTGCAAATACAATTAGTATATTAGTATATTATTTTATATTATTAGTATATATATTATATCATTAGTATATTATTATATATGTTAGTGAATATATTGTATGGAAATATTCTTAGTGGGACTTAAAAGTTCCCTCGGTGCATAAAGGGATCAGAAATGTGGTTTAATTGTACTTTAGTCTCAACTTACTTGGTGCCGTTCCGCAAATACAACTGGGACAGGGTTTAGTGTTAGAGTCAATATGGCAACCAGACTCGCACTTTGGAGGCGAACAAAGAACAGTAGGCTTATCTGAAATACATTTATTCGGAATATAATTATATAACCGTACAGCAGAACAAAAGATTTCTTTTTGTTAGTCTGTTTTGTTCATAAATAAATTAAATATACTATAATTGTCAGGAAATTGGAATAGCAGTTTGGGCCCAGATTAGCAAAATCACCAATAATTTGATTTGAGGCTTTTGGAAATATAGAGAGACAATTAAAATATAATTATTATTTATTGAACCATATAGAGTACATACAAGAACTATTTACAATCTCTTCCAGACAAACGCCAATCTCGTTCTCTGTTTTAAAAAAATTTTAATATCAAAATGAATAATAAATTTACACGTGACGTTCATTATACTGCATTTATTATTTTTCTTACTTTTGTTAGCCTTTCTTTTCAAAAATTCCAGACAATAATCGCACGAAAACTAATATGTGATGCATAGAATGTCCTATAAATATTAGTACTAACTTTAAGGCACATCATAAAGATGCAGTGCACCCATGCCGAAAACTGTCAGCTAATGCCCACGCTTCCTTATTGTGAACACACTATCACGTGTCTTTAAATTTGTACAATACACAATTTTTTTACAATAATTATGATCAAAAATGATATTGAAATAGTTTCACAAATAGCTGCTTTTCAATACTTTAATGATATGGTTGAATTTGTCAAGTTAGTCACCTAACCATTTAGTTACGATTCCGGTCATAGGTCGATAGGCAACTCTCCATTTTCTTTAAATTTCATTACCTAATATTAAAGTTTAAACCAGTATTTTGTACATCCTGTGTATCTTAAATAAAAAGTTGAATAAAATACGTTAGTTTTATAAAATTCGCATTACCTGAATTCTAGAAGTGTCGAAAGCCTTGAATAAAATTGTACTATACAAATGAAATCATGATTGAAATTAAAGTATCTTTAATGATTTTGAAGGGCTGAGCATTTTTTTTTTCGTAAATGGCAAATTCTTCAAAATAAATAATTAATCTTTATTTTTCATTTTCACGCTCGCCACTAATTTTTATAATTTTATAATCGTCGCTGAACAGCCGACCCAATATACGACTACTGATGTTCAACTCCGTAGCCTTGTAATTTTGAACCTAATACAGAGGACAAGGGAACTCCTGGATCGAGTATTGGGAAAAAAATTTTTTCGTGGAGGACCTTTTGATGGAGCTAACCCGCATTTTCGTTGCATGGAGAGGAAGACCATGAGAACCTCCAACGTTTAGCCCTAACCCATGAGCCGTATACCACTGAGGATATTTCACATCAGCACTGTGGTCGGTGCAAGCCGGAAGCGGAATTTGTATCGACTGGGTTTCGAACCCGGTTTGCCTCATTGGAAGGCGAACGCTCTATTCCACTGAGACATTGCGGCTCCGCGCCACTACTTCAGAAAAAGACGTTCTGATTGTACTGCTCTGAGGTGACAGTATTTTTATGCTCCGGCTAGCTGAAAATTTCAATTTTCGTGATTAGCCATAGAGTATTCCACCCTCCTCCAGCAAATGAGGGTATCAGAAGAAACAGTATAACCACTAGAGAAGAACAATGAACGAATTTCACAAGGAACGTAAATAATAATAATTATCAAATGATACTTGACATGCCATGATTAAAACAGAAAATATAAAATGCGATTTTTCAAACCTATGTAAAAAATTAACTGATTATAAATGTTTCTAATTTTTTAGAAGTCTGACATGTCTGCCAGGTCTTGCTTACAGAAGCTTTTACTTCCGTTGGTATAACAGTTTTTATACTTTTTTTCCGTTTTTTTCTGTTCTTTTTTGATTACTTTGTGTTGATTGGAGTAAGGCTGACGCAATTGAGGTTGAACATGATCAGCTCGAAGATAAACGTGCGAGCAAACTTTCAAATTAAGAAACAACAGTTTACATCGTAATGTGCTGTTGCGGCTCTTGATGTCAATTGTCGCGATGATGTCAATTGATGTCAATTGTGTAGGGTGGCTCATGATTAAATGTAGTTGGCTTTACGTTTTGAAACAAATTGCATGGAAAGTTTAATGAAGTTTAATATATGTTCTTAGTTGAAGAAAATTTTAAATCTTCTTTGATGATGGTTCTTTTTTCCAGTAGAACTACTGGAGTAGTCTCGTTGCTCCGATCATTTTCCTTTACTTTTAAGTGCGGACTTTAAATGTCTGTAAAAACGTTCCATAATTCCGTTTAAAGCCGGATGATAGGCTGTAGTCTTAGTTTTATTAGCCCCAATAATTGCGAAAGTTTTCGGGTCATGTCTAATTCAAATCCTCGATCGGTTGTCATTGTAAGACAACCAAATCTACTTATCCAAGAGTTAAAAAGTGATCAACAAATGGTTTCTACCTATTGATCAAGAGTTGGTATGGCATCTCATCTAGTAAAACGATCAATCATGGTTAAGAGATAATTGTAACCACCAGAGGAAGGTAGAGGTCATACAATGTTCATATGGACATGGGAAAAGAGTCCATCAGGAAGAGAAAATATGTTCCAAGAGGTGTTTTAGTTTGCTTTTGGAGATTGGAGCTTTGACCCAATCTTTTATTAGGTGTTTTATGAATGGCCATACAAACGTAGAGATGAATTTGGAAGTTGCTAGAATTCGAGGGTAGGAAATATTGTGTAGATCTTTTGGTGATTTATGAATATCTTCAAAAAAAAAGCATAAACGCTGATAAGCCACTTGTAACTTCCTCGATAAACCTTTGAAAAGGGGCACTAACATTTCACTGCTCAAATTGCCTCCTCAAACTGTTCGTATGTTTAGCAAAAATATTCAGCCTCTAAATATTAAAATATTTTATCAGAAAAAAGTTTCAAGGAATTCATATAATTATTCTCACTAAGTTATGAGCTTTAGTTGTTGGGTTATCTGTTATAATATACTTTTAAGAATGATGCTTCAAAAAATTATAATTTGAACGGCTTTATTATTTCATTTTTAAATTAAAACATTTTGTACTTACTATTGATTTAAAGCGAATAGTTGCTATTTTAAATTTAATATATGAAACAAAGTACATTTACGGCATTATATGTTAAGCAATGTATGCCATGACCTGGGCAAATATCAGAAAACCCACCATCACGACAAAAGACCCACAACAGTACGCAAACCCAAGCAATCACGGATACATCTACAGAAGGACACTTCTGCAAACGAGTCACGACGAGCAGAGGAGACCTGTTGAGTATCAAACAACGAATCCAAAGCCACCCAAAGTAACGAATCCAAAGCTAAAGGCAGCGGTGCCAACTCGACTGCAGGCAAACGAACCTTCTTTATTGATTAAACTACAGAACAATTAAAATCAGTTTAAAGCACAGAATCGTTGGTAAAAGTACATCAGATTGAAGAAATCCCTGAAAATAATTTGAGAATAGAGTCAGTAACTGGCTCTTCTCTCCAATCTTTAAATTGCTCTCTGGTACGATGGGCAGTTTTTACTTAAGGCGTCGTAATTTATGTTTAATTTGGAACCAAACTTTGTGTTTGTTTCGTAACAATTCACGCATATTTTTTTCCTTTGATGTTAAATTATCTTTGGCCAACTAAGTAATGATTTTACAGTTATGTTTAAGTTGTATCAGGAAATAAATACGATTTCCTAAAAAAATATTCCGTGATCTTATCTAGGGTTAAATGGCTTTATTTTTAGTTGCTTTAAATTTTCCTTACTTTTTTGCTTTAAATTTTTTTTTTAATTTTAAATAAAACTATTTCTTTTATTTTTAATGTATATTGCCACCTCCTTATTAAAATAAAAGGCTTATTAAATTTATATTCATTTATAAAACTATTATAATTAAAAAATAAATTTGTACTTAATACTTAAAACAAAATTTTACTGTAAATTTTAAAATTATTTAAAATTTCTTATTGTGAAATAGAAACATAAAATTTGATAGCTCTGTTTTTTTCAAAATATATCAGTCGAAATTATTATAAATGTAAATAACGTTAGTAACCATCAGTTAAACTATTCGGTTTTGCTTTATTATTAGGCCAAACCAAATATTCAGCCTTTGTGCCAGATAACAAATATTCGTTGCGTTACTAATTTAAGTTTTATTTTTTAAAGTATGCTCTAATTTGAACGCATTTTAAGATGAATGTATAGAGTGGAGTTGAAACTCCGGAAATTTACTATTACTTTTTTTTGTAGTTATTTGAATTGCTGTTACACTTAATTATGCTAAGAAGCTTACAACAACATCAGAATAGAAATAAAAAAAATTAAGAAAAAAACAGTGATGAAATTTGACAAGAAATGAAATTCATAAAATATTACCTTATTTTACTTCCTGGGAAGCCGCTTGTAAAAAAATGCAAATTTTAAAAAATTTTTGTATTTATCGGGATAAATAAGATAATAATATTTAAAAATTATGCTGAATAAAAAGTATATTTGCATTGTATTGAATAAAAGTATATATCTGTCAGAAAATTTAAATTTATTTATAAAGATATTCAATAAATAACTATGTGAAGTGAGAATTGTAAATTGAATCATTAAAATAATTTTGGAAAGACACAATAAACATTTACTATTTAAAAATCAAGATGTTGTTAAAATATAACTTTACATATTTCAGTTTCTTTACTATAAAAAAATAAGGAATTTAGTAAGGAAGCAAATAAATAATGATCAAGTTAATTAATTACTTAACAAAATCAATCTGTCTAGGTTAGAAAATAAAAATTATTAAAACAACGCTAGCAAATTTTTTATTAAGGTGTATTGTTATAAAAATGGAGAGGAAACTTAACTCAGAGGTAGTTCTAACTAACTTTTAGAAATTCATCTCCCCAAAACAAAAACTTACTATATTCAATATAATTTCACGTGATGCTGCGATAGTCAAAATTTACCACAATTAAGTGATTTTCTTCTGTATTCATCTTTTTTGACAAGCAGCAAAAAACCTATTAACACAGTACGACATTAAAAATTTATACTAGTATAATTGGGGCTCATTGAAACAGCAAAAGTTACCAAAATACTTGTAATACTTATAGAATCAGCTTAAAATAATCCTTCCTTTAGCAATTTGAAAATTAATTCCGTTTCGTAGGGAATTTAAAAGGTAATTCTTTTTCATTAATTTTCACATTATCAGCTATATGTTCGACTTAAAAGCTTTCAAAATACAAAAAAAAAAACACGTCTGCTAATATAGACACTTCAATTAATTTATTCGCTGGAATTAAATCTGCTTTTCAAAATACTTGACTACTAAATGACTAAATTAAATACACTACTAAATTGACATGGTTCAAGGGAAACAGTTCATTTGAAATACTCACCTTGAATTCCACAAACACAAATGGGACATGGTCTGGCATTATAATCAATTTGACATCCTGAATCACATTTAGGTGGAGAACACTGAATAATTGGAATGTCTGGGGAAAAAAAGAATTGAAATAACATTTGAATAAATCCCTTATTCAAAGTTGATTATAAATGTTTATGGAGTAGCAAAACTTTTAAAATATAACAAAGATGTCGGAAAATTTATTGCCTTTAACGAGCGATAAACTTTCCAAGAATTTTCCAAAATAACTCCAGAAATCTTTTTCGGATCTGGAAAACTTGATACAGTTGAACATTTAAAACGCTTTTATTTGGTTAGATACTTATTTGCCAGTCAATAATATGTAGATATGTATTTACCAGTCAAAGTTCGCCAGTCAAAAATATGTAGAACATATATCCTGCCATTAAAACTAAATTATTATTTGGTTTTATTCGTTTCACAGTAAATAAAAATAATAAATGAAAAATATAATCTTTTTATTTTATATATAACTATCTACATAATCATATATATCTATATAATCCGGAAAAAAATTCCGAAAAAAAAGAAAAATAATTATAAAAATCCGGAAAATAAAAGATATGATCCTTTCATCAGATCACACGATTATATCCGCGAAAAGGAGTGCTTTCTAATATTGTATCAATAAAGCCAAAGCAAAATATATCAAAACAATAGTGTGAGGAGCACTCAAAAAAATTTACAAAAATAACATTAAGTAAAAATATCACGTAAAAACAAAAAATAAAAAAATAAAATGCAAAGAAAAAACACAATAAAACATAAAACGAAATCTATAAAGCAAGCAGCGAATTCAAATGAACTTACATGAGCGGGAAATTTTTACTATACTATTTTATTTTGTTATACTATTTATACTATTTTATTAAATAATATTTACATCGAGGAATTAATCTTGCTTCGTAAGCATGATGATTATATTACTTTTTTGTATTTGTATATTATAAAAGAAGAAAATATTTGCTTTGTTGACTTATACAAAGAAAGAAATTATTTTTATTTTAATATACGAGTAAATAAACTAATTACTTGGAATTCTAATTTTTCTAAGAACATCTTTTTAAATACCATTTTTAATCAAATAAATAGAATTAAAAGAATATGTAGCAATGTTTACTTATACAAAAAGCAAATAGACAAACTCTTTCAAAATTTAATAAAAAGCAACGGATACCCACTAAAGTAATTAAATTCTATATAAAATCATTGAGTTAATTGTATATTATTGTAAATAAATCTACTAATAAACTTCTTTGATAATTCATATAATTTTTATTATGTGCAAATCCATTTCGGGCTAATCTGTGACTAAAATTATATACAAAACAGACAATTCAGGCTTCTTTGTCTTTTCTATTTTATTTTTTTTCTCCTTAAATTAAGGTTAATTTTCTAAAATTATTGTTAGTTACCAAGGATGGACCCGAAATGGATGTGCGCAAGTCAATATTATACTGGATAATTTAAAGAAGTTGACAATCAATAATTTTTGAAGATTAACTTCCAAAAATTAATAAAATCCAGCAGCTCTAAAATATGATAAGATATCCTTAAGGTCTCAAAAATTATCTTCATTCTTAGCGGAGAGTTTCGGATTATAACAAAAATTTATACATCAGAAGTTTTACATAGCACAATGATTATACCAGCTGTTTGCTTGGTACCTGCTTGTTTTAGGCACCTTCTTCTATTCTAAGGTGGTTGGTGAGCAATACTGACCACATTACTGCCACAATTTCATTTCCCCTTGCCCACAATTAGCTGTTACTGGAATGCTTTACGTTTCTTTTAGAACAACAAAGTTTAAACATAAAAAAATCTTACTCTGTTTTCTGCATTCGCAACTCGGGCATGGCCTGGCATTATAATCAATTTGGCATCCTGACTGACATTTAGGAGGGGAACACTGAATCATTGGAATGTCTAGAACAAAACAGAAGGAAATATTGTTACCGACAAGGTATGGAATTCTATGGAAGCTTAGCCACTATATGGAATGATTAAAATTCACTGCAGAGTATAAAGCGATTGACAATTCACACATTGGCTATGCATTCTATGCAATGGCACACTGGCCAAGTATGAAAGAATCGACCTTTCACATACTACCTACGCTAAGTAATGACAAATGGGAAACTGTTAATGTATGAAACGATTAACATCTTGTACATTGTTTATTTCATACACTGGTGGTAACAATTATAAATAAAACCAATGCGAGATTAGACAATGATTCGGAGATCGAGATTCTGAATTAATAAACTTTTAGTAATTAGAAAAAAGAGATAAATATAGGCTAATTTGCTAAACAAATTATTTAAAATGATAATTTTTACTCTACTAGCCAAATGGAAAAAAATATGATTTCATAACAGCAGTAAATGACACAATCACGAAATATAAGCTATAATAGGATTATTAAAAAAAATAGCTATTTCATCACTTTTGTATCTAATTAAATTAAAATCATTCAGTTGATCCGTGAGACATGTATCATTTTCGGAGATTAGAAAGAGACTTCATGACTGTTAGAAAAATTTATCTTTATTTTTTTTTATTAAAATAGTCATATTAGAGACTACACTGTGGTTCTCCCCCCCCCCCAGTGACTGTCTAAAACCATGAAGCTTCAGATCGTTGGTTATCCACTTGCTAGGGCAGTAAAGGCTGTCGATGCTCAATGCAAACTAGAATTCTACTATCAGATCGAGACTTAACCTCCAGAATACCCCAGAATCACAACGGGCTATTGCTATTTACGCTTTGAAGAGAAGAATCACATAAAAATGTAAGTAAGGCTCATGTGCTTTTAATTCTAAGGAATCACACTTAAAAAATGCAAGTATTCGCTCTAGCATTTTTAATTCTAAGGATTAAAATAATAAAATAAATTTAAATAAATAATAAAATAAATAATAATTAAAATAATTTATTGCATTCGTCAAACATATTTACTGAAGTATAATCTCAAAATAAAAAGGATTTAAAAATTTTTAGTTGCACCGTTCACAAAAAATAAATAATAATAATAAACGGACCACACTGAATAACTTTTGATCTAATAATGGAATTTTCATGTTCTAGGGCTCAATCTTAATGGTTCAAAAGGGCAACCTTAAACATGCTAATTAAATAGTGTAGACGATATTTTAAGTTACGAAATTGGACATAAAAACGTACTTTCTCCGAATAAACATAACTTTTTTTCTACGGAATCGGATCAAAAGTTATTCAGGTTTGTTTATTTCACATATATTATGTCACACGTATTTACTTATATTTACACCGATGTCTCTTTTCCGGAAAAACCTTAAGAATTATCTTTAGTTAAGTTACAATTGTCATATTTTTTGTTGATAAAAATTGCTAATAAATAGCTACACAATCTACACCTGCAAATTTAATTTCTTATAAAGAATTGTGCAATGATTCTTCGGCACATCGATAAATAACTAGACTTCCTAAACTTGTGCTTGTCAGTTTTTTTTTACAGCAACCAGTAATGATGAAATAATAATGAAATAATGAAGATGGTTGTCTTTATTTGTTCTAAATGCTGAAAGAACTTAACGAGATTTCTAATTACTAAGGGGGACCCGCCAACGAAACCCATATATTTGAAGTTTGTAATGCATATTCTTATTAGACAAAAAAATCCAACAGCCAACTTAGATGCTCTGTTAGAATTTTCATTGTAAAATTATGGTAAAATAACTGGCAGCAGTCCGTCTACACAATTAATCGTAAAGTTTACGATAAAAAAACATTTTTTACCTTTACGGATACGAAACTATGCGGTTTTTCAACCATTTACGACCAGCATAGTTTGAAAATCGTACGAAAAAGAAATTTAGCAGGACTCTGGAGATAGTTTAGCAGCTTTCTGGTGCTTCCATCCACGCGTGAATGAGAGTATCGTATTCTAACAACACAAGGTCACAAATGGGGGAGTGCGTGACACTGAAAATTCTTCACGTATTGAAAAAATGGAGAAGATTTTGTGCTATCAACACAGCGACGCGAATCCCCGTTCGGTACGTGGGGACATTGGTAGATTATTAGCTTGCTCGGCTATAATAAGTTTCCCGCTGCAAGGGATTAAGTGGCTTCATTAGGTGGGGGGGGGATACAATTCAAGATGTTTATAATATTATAAAATTATAAACTCTTTAAAAATATAAAACATGTGCCAATTACTCTAAAATGAAAATAAATTAAAATGTGACACTTCAAGTCACAAAATTTTGTGATTAAAAGCAATTGTCTGTAAATTATTATTATTTCTACAAATGCAACTAAAAAGGGACATAATAATTTAGGAAAACTATAAAACATGAGAATAACTGATATACAAAATAAATAACTAAAAATCTGAAAGTAAAGTAACGTGGAATAAATTTATAAAATAAATAAGTGGAATAATTCTTATGATCTGAAACTGAATTTTTTTTCTCCTGAAATGGGCATACATCAGAAAATATTAGTAGAATAGAAATTTTATAGAAACATTGTTGAGCAAATGAATTTTCACCTCATTCGACAAAATCGATAATTTAGCAAGAGTTTGTACCTTTCAATAAAAATGTTATATTGCACTCTTTTTTTTTAAAAAAAAATTATCACTCAAATCATTAGTAATGCTTACTTTGATTTCCACAAACACAACTAGGGCATGGTCCGGCATTATAATCTATCTGACATCCTGACTCGCATTTAGGAGGAGAACACTGAATCGTTGGCATGTCTAGAACAAAACATATTGTTTTTAAGAAGATTAATAATATTAATAGAAAACTAATGCTGTCTGATGATGCTGATAATGAGGATGTGTTTTGAAACATTTGAAAAGACTTTGCTAAGAAAATTTTGCAATCATATTGAAGCTACTTCAGAGAAATCTATCGGAAAATAAATAGATTATTGCAATTAATTTATTTTTTATATTTTATGTAATAAAGATCAAACATATGATTTTGCTACATTTCCCTACTTTGACGAGCAAGAGACAATGATGAAAGAGGAAATCAGTGATGAATGGCAAAGAACTTTTAGTAAAAAACTGAACTTAAAAATGTATTAATAAGTGAAAACATAGATTATGCACGGCACATCTTCTGGACCAAGGGGTTGAACTGCGTAAAAAATATTTTTCTTAACAAAAACAATTTTAAAAAAAATTAATTGAAAATATTTTCTTAGTTCATTTATTAATAATTAATTCAAATATGTATTAGATAGCTAGATATTTATTGAAATTTATTATATATATTTATTTAGCTAATATTATAATTATATGTTTATTTAGATATTTATTTAGCTAACAGTTAATTAATTGAATAAAAATAATTAGATTTGGGGTTTTTAATTACCCCTGTAACTAGGTCAATGACCTCTAGTAAACCTCAATAGACTGAAGGGATGCTGCTGAGTGCATATAAATTGCTGGCCCTCAACTATTGATTCTCTGATTACCCTCTGCTGGAAAATGTCGGGCAAGCACTCACCCTGCGCTTTTTAGACGATGATTTCTGGAATACAGGTGTCCAGCCATTCACTTTTGTACAGTTGAAAGTGACTTAGAGAACCGGTACTGACTTGTCGCTTTAGTTGCTGGCATCCAGCAGTTTTATAGTGCTGGATCTACAGATTTGTTTTTGTTGGGAAGTTATATATTCCAGTAAAAGTTTTAAATATATAATAAGAAAGCAAATAAAAACACAGAGGTCAGCATAGTAGTTATAAAAACAATCAGAATAATGGCAATAGATGCTTGAAAAAAAAAGACAATCTCGAGACAAAGTTACAAGAAATCAAAATTTTTTTGAAAATAAAATCTGACTCTGTCAGACCCAAATGTTTGCCACTACTTGGCATAGATTTGCGCTTTAAGCAATGCAAAAGGCAAAAGAAATTAATTTAATAAAACAATAAATTTTTAATATTTATAAAACATCAATGAAAATTAAACCTTTGTAATAAGGTCGTAAGATAGATATTATACGAAAACTGAAAAAAAGTAAAGAATTCAATATATGCTTATAAAATCATATGTATGAAAATACAAAAAATGTAAAATGCATTTCATAATATTTTTTTATCTCTACTTTTTAGTTTCTTCTAAATAAATGAACCCATACTATACAAAAACTATAAAAAGCAAATTTTTCATTTGCATGATTAATACACATAAAATCAACTGTGAACTATTTAAAACAGTAATTTTCTAACACGGAAAAAAGTAAATAGAGTTTAGCATTTATATTACCATGGCATAATTTTTTTTATTTATATTATTTGGATATTACTTGGATAAAAATTGACGTTAATTAATTATTTATAACTTTGTGTCTGCATTATTATTATTAATTACTTTACATGTATTTCAGAAACACTGGATTGACAAATATAGCTCATCAGTAATGTCATTAAACAAGTTTGAAAAAACGATTGACTTCTCAAAGGAAAACAAAACAACATTTGGCCAACTTTTATTGTGCTGCGCACAAAATTATTTAAAAAAATATATCAATATAATGATAGTGCAAGATTTAAAGAATTTTCATGTTATTTTTTGTGTATTAGTAAAAAAGAAATTAAAGTAATTTTTTACCTATTACAAGTTACTTTATGAAGAAGCTATGTAAAAATAAAAAGTTATTTTTAGGCAATATTTTTTTTTTAAAATTAAAGTTAATCTTAACACAATTTAACTAAATAATTTATTAATTGTTACAATTTTTAAAAGTTTTACAAAAATACTACTTTCAAACTAAAAAAAATTTGAAACAGTCAGGCAATATAATCAAGTAAAGTTCATATTGTTAAAAAATCATAATCTTAAAAGATTAGGACATACGTTGTAATTTTCGTTTACAAAAAAAATTGTCCTTTTTGTTTTTTGTAAAGCTCGTACATACATGGTGTCTAGATTGCTCTTGTGGAAAAATTTTAATATCATTAAGATGCAATTCAAAATGAATGAAAACAAATATTGTAAAAATATTGAAAATTACATTGTAAAATCACTAAAAATAGATAACACAATCACTTCAAAAAAAAATAAAAAATACCAGCACTTTTTAATTAGGTGTAGCATTTGACAACAAACTAAATTTTGCCGATCAATATCCAATCGATAAATACAGTTTACAAAACAGATATTGTGAAAATATTAAAAATAAACTAGTGGGCTGCGCCCCCTGCTTGCTAACGCTCGCCAACCCCAGAAAATTGCTACGCAATCTTATATGGTTTGCTTCGCAAAGCAAGCTCGCTTCGCTCGCTACTAACTTAGGTGCATTGCAAATGCACAAAATTCTAAGAATTCAAAACAGTCATTCAAATCCATATAACAACTTTTTTTTTAAAAAAAAATTACATCTTTTTAGTAAATACTAAGTTATTGAAATAAATTCAAATAAATGACATGCAATTCGTTAAACCTATCAGAAATGTGCTATAGTATAAAATCTTAAGATAACATTTCTAAAACTGATCTCTTTAAAAAGGTTAAAATTTTGGCTATAATTAAGTCTATTAAAAATTAAAAAAAGTGAATTGCAATGGAAAAACCTGCATAAACAAATAAATTCTAGTAAAACAAATAAATTCGTGATGTAAATCAAAAATCGTCAAATACATTCGTAATATACAAATTCGTGAATAAAAGCTATTTCGACAAAATACTAAAATAGAGAACTATCGACAAAGACTACTCACTTCTGCCTAGCTTATTCTCTCTCTGGTTATTTCAGTTTCCTTTTTTAAAAGCGCTATATGTTGAGCCATCTCAGTTGGATTTGGCATGTGACATTTTTAGCAGCAATCATTGGTCGATTTTCTAGCGTTGCCATTCGGGGAAATGTAATAAGGCTTTTTTTTTGTCGCCGTGTAAGAGAAATATATATATAGATTCTGTAATCACACTAAAGTTATTGTCTTTCGATGGATCCCTTCGTATGTGAGAATTGACGGCATAGAAAATACTGACCGAAGAGATGAACTTTTAAACAACTCGACAACAAACCCATTACTCCAGAATCTCTTAAACGACATGTTTATGAGAAAATTATAGATTACCTCAAGCACGACCAAGCAGCAAAGTCAATAGTTAATTCCTTTTCCAATATCCAAGACAGTTGGAAAGTGTGTGAGCCACAACTTTAACGTTGGAAAGCTGTGACAAATTTAAACTAAAATCAGACCATGACTGGTTGACAGAACATCTGAATAGAATAGGAATATTTCCATCAATTATTCGCTAAATCTGTAAAGTGGGCATGATGAATTACGTGGTAAAGCTTAAATAGAGAGTCTCAGAGACTTGATGAAGTTGAATATAAATTATATTGGACTACTAATACTTTTATGAACTATTATTGATCGAACACTATCCGCTCTTTTTTTAACTTTCTTTAAATTATTTTCTTGTTTATGTTAAGTTATATATATCTTGGTAGTTTGTTCATGTTTATTTTATGTGTGTTTGTTGAAATTTCTCTTTCCGCTAATCCTTGTTTCTTTGTGAGACATTGGGCTGCCTGATCTCTAAGGATTAAAATATGTAATGAATGTTGTGTTAAATGTTGTCGCTTTGGAGATTTCTCAGGTAAAATCCGAAATAAACTGTTAATGAAATTCCTAAGCCTTGGTAATGTTCATGACATAGTAATGTAAAAATCATAAAATGACTTGCAAAAAATTATAAAAAAATCAGTATTTTTTATGTTATAAAAGGAATGTATACAGAAATAGTATAAAAATTTCTAAAATGTATGTAAATGTTTTCTCTAGATTTGTTTCTCCCTTTTTCCCCGTTATCCACCGAAAGTATTAAGAGAATTCTATATATTTGAGAAAATGAAAGAAAGTTTCTAATAAATTTTGTAAGATCAAGATAAATTGATGTTTGACTTGATACCCTCAAAACAATTTCAGCCTTCGGGACATCCAATAAGACGATCCAAAAGTAAATCTATTGCGACAAATAGTTCTCTGCCATAAAATTGTTGGATTCATAGCTGTGTAGTTACCTCATGTTTGACTAGTAGTAGTTCCGGGCAAGTTCTTCATCAAAAAGTTTCCTCCTATTTCATTAAAAAAAAACTTTAAAATACGTGGCTTTTACGTGTAAACAGAACCCTGGATGCAGTTTTACAAAAAAATAGGTTAAAAGGAAAAGAGTTGTATTATTATTTGCAGTTACTTGGTTGTATTATTCCATCTACAATGGTCAAGGAGAGCATTTGCTACTGAATTAACTAAAGTTAGGATTGCCATCAATTCTTCTATTAATATCTAGATATTAGGCTTTTTATTATTTCCTCTAGTAAAATATATTCCCATATTATTAAAGTAAAAATTTTGAACTTACTAATATTCCTACTACTTCAGTTGAAAAATTTCAGCTTATTATATTATTAGAATTTAAAAATTATCCATATTATGGAATTAATTAAAAATTGATTTTATTATTTAAGTTATTAAAAGTATTTCTATCATGCATTTAAAAATTATTTCTATTATGTACTATGTTTATTGAAAAATAAGAAGATTTTAAATGTCAAGCACATTTTTGATAACAATTTTTGTTATCGAAGATGATTTGATTACTTGAATTGATCAATGATCATTTCATTTGGTTGAGAGATTCATCATAATAGAATGGACCAGTTTATGCTGCTGAAATTTATGTGAGTGGGTGCACATTTATCAATAAAATGTTTATCAAAAGTTTTTGAATAGAAAGTTGATAAGTTTTTAAGATGTTTTGGGGATATTTTAGGATGCTTGGCATGGATGAGCATGAAATATTACTTGAACTATAAATTTCATTTACACGAAATTTCTAAACTAAGGTAGACAACGTTAAAGAGCTTCCTATTCGTCGTCTTCCATTCACCCTTCCCTCCTATTGGCCGTTGGTCTAAACCCTCTTGTGACGTCATCTTTCTATATATATTTACTCTGTTCTCTAATTGTTTTCTGTTGCACTGATGAAGGTTGCCCTTTGAGCATCCGAAACAGCTGTCTGCTTTTAATAATATTTTTGTGCTCTTTAACGTTGTCTACCTTAGTTTGTATTTTAGCACAAAGGTCGCCCACTTGTGTATTTACGAAATTTCTGTTATGTTATACAAATACTGATCATTTTGGTTAGAATCACCTGTTTCTTTTACTCGCTTTAAATAATATAAATGCAATTTTTGTTAAAATAACTACTATCAAGGGATTGGTTAGTGTTTGTCCTTCTAAATAATTAAAAATCTCTAACGGCTCCCACCAATATTTCAGACAAATAAAGAAAATGTTTATGAATTATCATCAATTTAAATTGCGTTCATTTTCTTTCCTTATGTGTGATATTTTAATAGCGACTGTGACTGTGTAATTTAATTTTGTCCCCCTAAAAAATCTGGGCCATAGTTCATACATTATATAAAATATGTAATTTTCTGTTTGGAGGAGTTTTACTTATTATAGCTAAGCCAGTTCTTGCACTGTTTTAGAATGTACATTGGTAATGAAAGTCGAATTTCGTAACGCGATATCATGGAATTCTATTCGATTTAAATTACTAATAGTTTATTGAGAGTTTAGTTTACTATCATAATTCCCAGATTTCCACTATTTCTAAAATAGTTATTGAAAATCATGTTAATTCATTCTATAACATATAGTCCATTCGCCATTTAAAATTAGTTTCAATAAAATTATGTACTAATATTTAAAGTACGTTAAATCAGCAGCACCTATGTATTTAAAGTATGTAATTCATATTATATTACTATCCTATCACACAACAATTCCACAAAGAATGTTGTTTGACGTCTAATTTTTTTAAAAACATTTTTTACTAATTTTATTTTTTTTAAGCGTGCTGGCTGCTCTCACACGTTGACATGCTTAATCCCACTTTTTTTAATTTAAACCTAAAAGTAACATAACTTCAATAAATCATGTATGTGAATAAATTTATAAAGTAAAGAATTGGAATAATTCTTATGATCCGGAACTGAAGTTTTTCCCACTGAAATGATTATACATCCGAAAATATTAGTAGAATAGAAATTTTATAGAAATGTTGTTGAGCAAATAAATTTTCCCCTCATGCAACAAAATCAATAATTTAACAAGAATTTGTACCCTTCAATAAAAATATTATATTGCACGCGTTTTTTTAAAAAAAATAATCACTCAAATCATTAGTAATGCTTACTTTGATTTCCACAAGCACAACTGGGGCATGGTCTGGCATTATAATCTATCTGACATCCTGACTCACATTTGGGAGGAGAACACTGAATCGTTGGCATGTCTAGAACAAAACATATTGTTTTTAAAAGGAAAATTAATAATATTAATAGAAAACTAATGCT